TTTACAGCAGAGGAAGCTGGTATTTGGTACTTGTCTTGTTTTGGGAATGCGTTCCCTACTAGTAAAATGAAGTGAATGAGCTCTGTCACCCAAATTGCCTTAAAAACATTTGAGTATAATGTGAAGTACAGCTCCTTCTGAACCTGTTGCATTTATAATTCTGAAAGTGTACGTAATAAACCTCAGAATTTCCATAATCTTTCAGAGTGAGATGAAGAGATGAGTAATAGCATAGCGTCATCATAGACATATGATCGAAAATAAAGAATTCTTTTGCTAGATCTAATTTAATTTCCTTAGGTCTTTATCTGTTTTGATACCCTGAGAGATTAAACTAATGAATTTCTGAGAGCTCTGTGTATTGTTCATTGACAGGATATGGGTATTTCCTTGCAGTATTTTACCACCTTTTGTCTCATAGATATCTAGTGACCTGGAAATGGTACAGCTATAGTTATCTCTAACACTATGTAATGACACACAATGTCTTCCAGAACTGAGCAACTCAAATGCTGCTTATGTAGCTGTATTGCTTAAATCAATAGCATTTTGGTTTCAGCTATATTAGGGTATGATCATAATATTTAGAAGATCAAAATTTGTAGTACCATGGCATAAAATCTAAGAAGGTGTGTTCTTGAGAACCTGATTTGAAAAAGGAAATTGTACAGAGCTGCAAGGGGAACTGTAAATATGGAAAATCATCAGAGAGAGGCTAAAATCTATGCCTAGTTCTTACTAGTTCTCTGTGATCCTAGACTTATTCTCTGTGCCTGATCTCAGAGACAATAACACCCACTTCACTAACTGAGATTTTTTTTTGTTTTATTAATTGCAATTGTGTATATTTTAAAGAGAGTAATGTACTGCTTTGATAATGTAAACATGAACAGGACTTCAGCATATGATCCCTAATCCTATGACAAAATATAAGACCTAAATAGGCTGATGAGGATCCGTGCCAACATTATGGCCACAAAATGTATCACAGGAAGTTCTGCACCAACATGCGAAAGAACCTCTTCATGGTAAGAGTGATGGAGCACTGGAATAGGCTGCCCAGGGAGGTTGTGGAGTCTCCTTCTCTGGAGATATTCAAGAACCTGCTTTGGCAGGGGGGTTGGACCCAATGATCTCTTGAGGTCCCTTCCAACCCCTTCAATTCTACAATTCTGTGATTACATTTCCCTCCACCGACAATCCATGGAGCTTGCACAAACAGAATCTTCTGTCTACCAAAGAATGCTGTTGTAGCAAGAATTATTTCTGCAGGATTCTTTTAACACTATCTTGAGAACCAGAAGTCCATCTTCCAATAGACAGCTGTGCTTCAGCAAAGCAAGACATCTACTTACTGTAATAAATAATTCAGTATTACTGTGAATACTCACCATTTATTATTTACATTTTAGTATTAGAGTTGAACAACTGCAGCTGAAGGTAAAGCAGAAGGGTATTCACTATCAGTTTAAAACTAAATATGTCAAGAATCCAACATACCAACCCAAACCTTCCAACCTTTTTAAGGTAGTCCCCCTCCCCCCCCTTTTTTTTGATTTATAAATGTCTTTTGAGTTACTTGCTGTACCAGCTGTTTGCTTTCATAATGCCTTTCATCCTTTTGTTGTGACAACAGTTACTGGTAGTGTTGTAAAATAATACTTTGGACGAGCTTTGTAAAAATGCATCCCAATGTTTTCAGGCTACAAACTTTTCTGCCCTTTTGAGGTCTTTACACTACCTTCTAGTTTTTGTCTTTCACCTTTCTCCCACATATTTTTTCCTCCCTTGAAAACTGTTACAATTTTCTCTGTAGGCTGTATTCATCTTTGAACACCCTGCTGGGTCTGGACTGATGCTATGTGTAAAAACTTTTGAAATGAAGTGATTTTAAAAATTGTGGGAAAATAACACAGGTACTTTACAAATGCTCAAATATGAAAAAAAATCACAGATGTACCAATTCAATTTCAGCTGGATTTATTTCCATCATGTGGCATTCTAAAATGTTGTAGCAAAACCTAGGGTAAGTAAGTAAAAAGTTACTGGGACAATAAGATTAGAGGAGGTGAACTACAAGAGAAAGTTTCATTAGTTTCTTAAGGTCAGTCACTGAATTCACAGTACAGAGGATAAGAGATTTCTGCAGAAAAGTGTTTTTTTTTTTTTTTTCAGTATTTTAGTGAGACTGGTCCCTAGTACCATAGGGACATTTGAAGAAATGGAAGCGAAATCATAGCTGTAAATATCATATTCAACAAATTTAGATGACTAGAGATGACTACACATATTGTTTTCAGTGATGAAGGTGAATACAGAATACCTGTATTTGAAGGAAAGTAGGCAGATATAGGATAAAAGTGGGCTGAGGAAATCAAGAGAGTTGCAGAACTAATTCCCATAATGCATCCTACTGGATACCACTGCTTATTTATACTTTTGTGGAAGGGAAGCCTTATGTTCTGAGCTAATTATTATAATATTCTCTCTTCAATACATTTAAATACCTGAATTCCTCAAAATTCAACTTTGGTTTACAATATACTAGTGACAGTTTAAATCAGGTGGAAATATTGGTGTCTAATTCAACATGTCTAGACTCTGTAGTCCATAGAAGTAGCATCTCCAAACATACCTTATGATGGATAAATGTCTTCTGGAGGTGCCTTCCATTTTTCAGTGACAGGTATGAGGTGAGAGATTTGATTTAGAAACCTAATTTTTTGACAGTGAAATGAGGCTAAAATATTCAAACAGTACTATCATTTTCTATAACTTCAATGAGAGAAAGCTAAAACCATGGCTGAAATTATTCTTGCTACTTTAACTGAACTTCAAAGGTAGGTGCAGCCTGGATCTGAAAAGGGAAACTCTGCAGCCTCATGTCTCAGATAGCAAAATTCCCTTTAGCTGCCTTTGCTCCCTTTCATCTTTGCCATAATTCAGTGCCTGAGCCTAAATATACATTCACAGTCTTCTTTTCACAATTTTAGCATCTTACATAAGGAGAAATATCAGACACTGCAGATTCAGCTGCATAAAAGATGGCTTGCCACAGCATGTCTGAAATTTAGATGGCGAAAGACACACTTTGCCCTGGTTTTCTAATGGACAGAAGAGGGGAAGAGAAGTATTTAACATACATACATACAAAATAACCTGAACCTTGATTATTATGTATTTTAAACCTATTCTATCTAAGCTTCACTAAGGAAAAAATGTGCTAAAGGGGGAAGAAATTTTCAATCTGTCATTAAAAAATCGGTATTTGACATAACCTCAGTTCAATAAAATATTTTGCACAATACCACAATGATCCTTGTGTAATACATTATAAATACTTGGTTAAAGTAGTACTAGTGAGTCTGCAAGTTCTTTTTCTATATCAATGTCAGAACACAAAATGCTTTCTACCTATATAAAAACAGGGAAGATTGTTCCTAGATTTTGCTTAGGTTCTCATTGAAATGATGACAAACTTTAAACTATTTTCCCTCTTCTCTGAAAAATGTATTTTTATATATTTTTTAGTCTTGATATGCAAGTTTTTAAGAGGCAATAGAGTCTGAAATGAGAAAATCCCTTCTGAGCTTTACTTTCTGTGCCAAAATAATAAACCTTCGGGCTCCAAGTATACATATGAAGATGTGAATATCACAATAAATTTATTTATTCTTTTTGCCTCCTTGACTTTATGAAAATAAGCATTCTGGCTTCTTCTGACTAAAAACACCAGGAAATGGATTAAAATTAATTTGGCTTATATTACAATATGATGAAAGTATAATGGAAATTGTATGACCGCTTAAAGATGGGTGAAATGACTGAAGTTACTCTTGAACTGCCCTGGATAATAACAAAGGAAAGCAGAAAATTTGCACAAACATTATAGTAAAGAGCATCAGATAATTCTAAATTTATCAGAAAGATGAAGCAGCACAGATTCAGAAGAGAAATGTTTGACTGCCAAGAAGTTTTTGTATACTAATTTTGTGAATCCACAGAGAAAACAACCCTTTGAACACAATATTTTATAATTAGGATGTAAACAAACAACCTAAACTCAGATACACAGAGCGCTTAGAATTTATGGTTAAGAACAACATATTTTCTAAGAATAACAGCTAAAATAAAAGCAATGAAGATAAAGTACTTGAAGATTTCATTTCTGAAAAGTAATAGTTCTGTTGGGAAATATCACCTGCTGACCACCTGAGGAGCAGTGTGATATGAAAACAAAGTTTATTGCTATTATTTCTTTTGAATTTTTAGGTCAAGCAGAAGCAAAACCAGTTATACTATGCTTAAACACAGATCCAAAAACATACTATGTTAAAAAAACATGTAGGAACTTCCCCATTTGCTTTGGCAGACATGTAGTTAAATGGTATTTTTTTCATTCTTTTTCAGTCTTAGAGGTCTGATCAAATTCAAAAAATAAATAAATAAATGAATAAATACAATAATCTCAAAGGTAGATAAAAGGATAAAATCAGATGCAAGTGTATAAAAAAATTAAATCATAAGAAAGACATATAGAAAAACAGCTCAAGCTTATTGAAATGTTGACTTCAGAAATAGATGTTATCTAAGTATCTATAATACAGGCTTAGTTTTTCTAGACACACAACAGAAGACTTTAAAATTGAGAACCAATGTGGAAAAAGTACTGATATTTTCCCTCTTAGAAGTTCAGATAATAGAATATTTTTATTTTTTTCCTCTGTCATAAAGCCATCTTATCATGGGAAAGTATACACAGTGAATAGGTGTTGGTGATGAACCACATGACATGTTTTTATTCCAATTAGTTTGAATTGTGGCTCACTGAACATTTACCACACAGAGATTCAGCACTGAGCCCCCACTTTTAGTGCAGTGGAACAGGCTGTTTTATTTCACAGCTTGCCCAAGTCATTTATAGCCCATAAAAAAAAAAAAAAAATTACTTAACACATGGTGGCATATGCAACTCTATAGAGATTTTTTGAGAAGGAGGTGGAAGATGGCATTTGTATACACAAATATATCCATACACATACTCAACGCAATATGTTAGCACTCTTTTGTGCTATAAATCTGGTAGGCACACTATCATGGTAACTGAAGACGAAAATTTTTGGTAAGAACCTGCCTATTCTTTTCTCACAACATGATTTCCAGATTCCCCCTCAGATTTATCCTGCAGTTCTTAGGCTCTTCAGTGAAATATGCTTAAAGTCTTGCTCATAGCTCCCTGGAACTACACACTGCTGTGCACCATCATGTGCACTGCACAGCCTGATACCAGAGCAGATGCTTCTGCACTGACTGTTCATGTGGAAGACAGGTAATGCTATTATATTAATAGATTTTCTGTTGTGTACTTACGTTACCTGCAACAGTGGTAGTAGCCCACTGTTGAGATGAATTTTCTCTATCATTTAATAAGAATGATTACTGAAATAACTGATGCTAATAAAACTACTAAGAATAATAATATGTGAAATTGCATATTCATTATGATAGTAAGAGCTGTGATAGTTCTAGCCAGGCTCATTATACCTGATATACTAAACAAAATCTGATATACTAAAGAAAGCCAAATCTGTCTTCCAGGAGCACCAGACTGTTTTGTTACTGGCTCTAGAGAACCTAGGAAATCTTAGCACAAAAAATGAATACTTGTAATTACAACTGGGAGTGAACTACTTGCAAAATCTGTCCAATGGAGCAATGAGGGATGATCCTTTCAATTAATAAGGATAAACATGGAATCAGCTCAGCCAAAACTGGAAAAAATGTATTAATCAAAATTTTGCTCAGGAGGGATGGACAGAAATGCTATGCAGAGTATTCCAGAGTATGCAGAATTTGGAGTACTACAGTCACTGAAGGATTGGTACCTGGAAACATTGTTTACAGTAACGTGGAGATGATTCCTAAAGTTGTTACTTGTTTGGAGAAATGTCAATTTATTTTTCAGCTCCTGTCTTTTCTTCTATTAAATGTTTAGAAATATGTTTACGGTTTGTAAACATCCATCTGAAATCCTAAATTGTGTAAGTACCGGCTTTTCTGTTGAAATGCATACTTTACAATTTCCCTCTGATTCAGCACTCAACAGTGCCGTTATTCTTACTATTTCATGCAATGCTGGTTCACTCAAGCTGCTATAATAGGCATATAGTAAAGATGGCATTTCATTGCATCATTGAACTGATATGTGTGGTTAAAGTCCACAGAGATGCATTTCAATAGATAGACATCGTCTGAAATCCTAGAGCAGAAGAAATAGTACAGGGACAGTACAGCACTTAAGTAAATGAACTTTAAAGCCTGGAGATGAAGATTGCAATGATAGAAAAAAAAAAAAAGAAGTGAAGATCTACTCCTATTTACAGTGTTTATGAACTGGAAAGAAACCTGTTATGTGAATGGAATTATATATAACCTAAAAACAATACTGAAGCCGAAAATAATTAGATAAGTCCATAAGTGTACTACATGGTCCTATGGAAGAGCTCTTGATCTTATAGGGTTAAGAAACACTTGTGTTTCTGAGTCATTCATGTTTCTGAACAGTTTCTGAACATTTATGGGGCATGAGGAAAGTTCCCATGCTAGGACAGTGAGAATTGGAAATGATATATTTTAGGAAGAAAGAAGAACCTAGTCAGGGGAAAATGTGATAGGCTGATGTCAGAGGTGCAACGGGAGAAAGGTTTTATAGTACAAGACCAATTTTTTTTTTTTCCCATGTGATGAGAAGAAATCTTCAGAATCACATTTTGGATAGTAAGACCTCCCCCTGCTACCACACACAGCACAGATAGTCAATCCCTTACTTTGAGAAATGGGAGTTTGTCGCAGATAAGGGGCTTTGAGGATGTGGTCAGTAGGCCACCTAAATTTGACAGCAAATCCACTTGCACCTGGAAACTTTCAAGAAAGTTTTCTCAAAATTATGTGCCCTAGAAAAGGTGAATCAGAAAACATGCAGATTTATATTTAAATATGTCAGTCTGGCTTAGAAACTCCCCCTAAGCCTTATGAAATCACTCAAGCAAATACCATCTATTTGTAGAAATATATAAAAAATAAAAATAATAATACTTTAAAAAAAATGAAAACACAACTTTGTAACTCATTAAAAACATTTTTCTGCTCTGGGCATTATGTATTCAGCAGGACTTGTATAACCAAACCCTTTCTATAAAGAAGAGAAAGGAGTATCTCTTAGCAAGTTAATGCTGCTCTAGCTCCTGCAGAGCAACTTGGCAACTGCCTTCAAACAGGAATGTGTTTTTCTCTGCCCTCTCCACCCCCGTCCCCCTTTTTTCTTGCCTCCTGTCTCCTGCCCCACAGTGCAGAAAGGCTGCTTTTTGAATAAATACCTCTGAGCCTTCCAGCCAACTGCAGCCTACAGTCATTATTTTACCAAGAATCTCTGAGATTTAGTACTGTTCTTCTGAAGGTTATTTCAAAAGTCTTGATTGTAATCTATCTTCAAAAATTGAAGCTGTGATTATAGGAATGGAAAGGCAGGGTGTTGGAAGTCCTTACAAAATAAAAGTACAACACACTCACTTTTCATAGTGTGATTTAAACCTTGTCTGGTGGATTGTGAAATTTAAAATTCTTAAGATCTGGAAAAAAAATTATATATATATACATTATTACTGCATACACATTATAAATTTATAACAAAGAATACCAGACATTGTATTTGTGATTGTCATCCATGAATGTGTTTCAATACCTGAAAGGATTAGAGAGCCTCTCTTTACAGCATCCATTAATTTAGAAGAAAAAGTAAAAACCTTTTTTCAACTACAAATGAAAACAAATTTTTATGACAGCAGAACATAGATTCTGCTGTATTTGGTACTTACTAATTAATCATACTATACTCATAGCATACTCAGGAAGTTTCAATAAGAATCTGATGAACAGTTCAGACATAAGAACTGAAGAAAGATTATTTTTCCCAAACAGTCACTGCAAAAAGAGTCTTGAATGACCTGAAAGATATTTTAAAAATCTTCAGCAAGGCTTTTTTTATAATCTCTAAAGAGACCTTATATATCTACTGAATTTCTGCTTGGAAGCAATTGGCTCAAAAATATGAAAGTACATTGTTCCTTAGGATATTATTCATGAACAAAGATTTGCTGAGCTTGTGCCAGGCCATGTTAGATACCATGCCAGCTGTCATACTCTGCATCACTAGACAAAACCTTTTGAAGAATGGTAATAAATCATGTGAGATTCCTGCTTCATTATCACACATAAGAGCTAGCATCAGGTTGTTACTTAAATGCTATTTGTGAGTGATCTGATGCACAGTATTTTTCTGTTTCCAAGAGGAAAGCCTGTCTATGCACACATATCTCATATAATACAAGTCTCTTACTTTTTCTGACGTGTCAAAGTAATAAAAATTTATTCACAGAATATTTTGTTGCTGTAGACAATCTAAAATATACATTCTAATGCTTAATATGTATGTTGAATATTAAATGAAGAAAGAAAAATGCATGACATCTGAAGGCTTGTCAGTAGTTCTCATTGATATTTAACATTATGATATAATGTTATGATATAATTATCATGACTTGAACAGTTGTTCACTGAGTTCTCAGGAAAAATAATTAATCACTTAGAACAAAAGCATAAAAATAAAAGTTGAAATATTATTTACATGTGTGAATTTTAACATATATAGACTCAGTAACAGTGATAAAAAATGGCAATAAAGATCATTTCAGAGTATTCTTCTAAAAGTCTATGAGCCAACATTTTCAGTAGCAATTACTGTGATTAAATCTGAACTTGAAAAACTTTAAAGAACCTAATTTCCAGAGCACAGTGAAAAATTAGGGATCCTTCTTTTTTTCTTTTCTAAATAGTTTATAATACTCAAAAAGTCATTGTTTTGTTATCAAATAAAATTAAACAAAATGTCAGTTTCAGAACAACTTGAGATATGTTTTCTAAGATTTAAAAGATCCATTTGGGATGTTCTGGTAGATGTTACTCCAAAAAAACACCTCCACAGGTAATGATGAAAACCAAATTCATGAAAATTAACTCAGGAATTTCACACAGGACTTCATTTCTAGATCAGTTCATAGCAGACTGATCTAAAATTGAGTTTTTACTGTCTTTCTGTGGAGAGTAACAAAAAAATCAGTATGCATTTCCTTGGCCTCCCTAGCTAGTTCCTGATTTCACATGTTGCTGTCTGTCATGAATTCCTATTCTTCTGCTGGAAGTTTCCAACTCTTTAATGTGCTTCTGACTGACAATGTATTTGCATTCTGCAAATCATTTATGATTTAGCAGAAGCATTGTTGTTCATCACTTCCCTGCTGCTACTGTAATAACTATACGCAAAAGGTTTCACTTTACAGGATGCTTTCAGTGAGAAATTTACTTGGGCACCTTTGTACCTCTACTCTTTGCCCTCACAGGTTCTTGAACACCCTATTGACTTAAAGGTATTGAAAACTCATTTGTAACTAAGGGTAAAAAAAGACTATTAAGACTTGATTAGAAATCTCATTAACATATATATTTCTAGAGCACCACAGAAACGAAATATATTCAAGATCTGTCAAGAAAATCTATTTCCAGATTTGCAAGTGGATGAAATCTTACAGTTTATCTCATTCTTGTGATACTTCTAGTTGAATTTCTAGTGTTTCAGAATTTCTGGATAAACATGCGAAGTCCCTGCACATTACAAATATCTTATTTCTTTTTTTTTCTTTTTTTTATTTTTTTTTTTTACTTTGACAGAAATTAATTTCTGTTTCATGTTCTTTAAGAAGGTAGAAAGTACAAAGCAACATAAGAGACAATCTGCTCCCCTGAGATTTTCCTATTTGAGCAAACCAGTATGGAGACTGAAAGGTAAAGACAGATTTAAAAAAAAAACAAAAAAAAACAAAAAAAAAACAAAAAAAAAAAAACAAAAAACAAAACTAGGAAACTAGAATAACCTAGTTAATACATGTTTTTATACATACAATTTGACTTATACCTGGTAGCAGTGTAGTTATTTTCCAAAAATTAGTAACTAAACTGCAATATCAAGCTCCCTATCTGATTTATGAGATACTGCTCTGTAATATTCAAAGACTATTCATTTTAAAGGATTCATTGACTGTAGTGATAACTGTAATCATTTCTGCAAAGTGATTATTGTTCTGAAAAATAGGGCTTACAGGGCTGCAGAACTTCAAGAGTATGCTCTGTCTTTGAAGTTATTTCAGTGGAAAGCCACAATTTTATCTTATGACTACATACACCAGTAGTGTCCCCTTGTGTCCAGTTTTACAAGCA